AATGTACATGTTTGATAAAGTTCATACATTTTAGTAAAAGCCATTAATCAGAGTTTACAAGGAAAAAGATGAAACTGAAGTAAAGATACTGCCACGTACTTGTGTAGTGGTCAGTGAAGGCCAAAGCTAGAGCTTCTCCTCCCCAAATGGGCAAGCATAACAGCTAGAGGTACTTAAAATATCTACAAAAGAAAAGAAAAAAACCAAAGGCTTTGTACTTCTCAACTGCAAGGTACTGTACCCCCATATACCCAACAGCTCACATGTGAGAAAAATTGATTCCAGTATGAATTACTGCTTGTGGCTGATTAGTGATGCAATGAAGTCTATCCTGACGTACTTCCTTCCAGTGATACATGGAATTCTGCCCCCAAATCTAAGAAAAGACATGCTAATAATACAGTTGCTCAACAGGGCACATGAAAACACATCCTAATTCCTATATCACCTAAGCACAGTGAAGAATCCCATTCTGGAGAGGTTCAAATCACACAACAAGCTTAGCTCCATATCATGTTGAAATATTGGTTCTTGTACAATCACCAAAGTTAAGCAATGTCAAACCTGGTCAACACCTGAATGGGTGAACACTTTGGAATATCAGGTGCTGTAAGCTTGAATGTGTGTGTGGTGTAATGGATAATGGTTTGGAATTGGAAATCAGTGAGCTGAGTTCCAATTCTGGTTGGATTCATAATATTCACTGATGTGTAAATACCCTTTGGAAAGGTATGAATCCATTTCTTCTACCCCCAACTATAGATTAATTAGTAAGACTTGTATCAGTAAATATTTATTATCTACAAAAAATCCTTATAATCTAAAAATATTTTTTGGCTTTAAATAACCTGCAAAATGTTGGTAAGCCATAAAAAACAAATCCATCAATCAAGTCAAATAACCTGCTATCATATTACTGGTAGCCGCATGCTGAACAAGCCACTGATAATACTCTTGAAAAATAGGTGAACAGCATGTGGCAATCAAGATTGACAAATATTGTGAGCCAAGTAAAACTGGCTATCCTAACGTATATCCTCGTCCACCAAGCCAGTGAGGCCATTGGGTCAAGATTAATAAAGTTTAATCACCTCTGTTCAGGATACAGGAAATACAAGGCTTTCATGTACAAGACTGGTCTTACACATGATCCAAGCTTTTTTTTTTTCTCGACTGGTTACAAACATGATGGTTTGAATTGCATTTTCAATCTGCTTTTTATACATGTATATACATATCTAAGTCTGTCAGCATACTATCTTTGTTAATATGCAAAGAAAAAAAAAAGAGAGGAAGGCATTTGATATAGATTTCAGTAGATAAACTGACATTATTGAATCAATTATTGCAAAGACTTGCATTTATGTTTTAAGAGGATACCAACTCAAAGATTTTTTTAAATATACACAAACCAAAAACTTTAATATTTTTTTGTATATCCTGTGATTAGTTTTCTACTACAATTGTAAATTTGATTCTAATTTTTTGGGGTTTTTTTAACCAGCTTTTTCCTGGTGTGTGTGTGTGTGTGTGTTTCTTTATTTACTGGATGTATTTTTTTTAATGAAATCCAAAAAATGCTACCTCCTGTTTTTAAAAATTTACCAAAAATCAGGAACTTATCTGATTTAAATTAAATTTTCAGAACTTATGAAAGAATGAATTGTATACTGAATTATTTTATTAGAAAACTGCAAAAAAAAGTGGGTAAGTTATCCTTCCCTTATTTCGGAGGTGGGGGATGATAACAAATATTTTTTTTATAGTTTATAAAAAAAAAGAAAATCCCTGAAAACTTTTTCAATAAAAGATTTTTGCAATATCAACTCAGAAAATCTTGAATATTTGTCCTGAAACCTTATAAAAAGTAATAATTCAATAAAAATCAAAATTAATTTTCATTAGAATTACATAAAAAAAACAGATTTTCTCTCAAATTTGACAGAGAAAAAAAACCTAAAATAAATATTTAATTTTTTAAAAAATTACTTGTAATTCTTCGGTTTAATTTTGAAATTCTTAAATTTGTTGATGACAAAAGAGATCTTTTTTATTAAATAAAGATGTGTTTAAAGAATCAAAAAATGTAAAGTTTGATGCCATTTTTACAAATCTTTCAAATAATTTTATTTATCACAACTATTAGATTTTTTTTTTGTATTGAAGATAAGGTAATACTTATATGTTAAGGATCACCTTGATTGAAAATCAAATAGGAAAAGAGTTTTGAATCACATCACTTTTGCGAGATTTATATCTTAGGAATGTGTTTTATCAGTTTCCACCATTTTTTGGCATTTCCTTCATTTTAAAATCAGAATAATTATAAAGACTTCATTGTGTCAATCAAATATTTTATGACAACAGATAACAAAGTAATCAACAAATAAAAGCAATAAATTAAACTCAGAAGTATAACTATTTTTTAATTAATTTCCTTTTTATATTTCTAATGTAGAATATATAATAAAATTAATTCTACTAAGTTTCATAAAAACATAGAAAAAAATTCTTAAACAATTGGTTACATTAGGTTAAAAAGATTTATTTTTAAACTTATAGGTACATCCACTGATCTGCTAAAAAAAAAAAAAAAAAATGAAAAAAATGCCCCAAACTTAATAGAAAAAATATTTTATCGTCAAAATCTTTGTTAAAAATTTAAAAAAAATTGATTACATTATAATTTTTATTCTGTTTAGAACTTTCAAAATTTTAGTTAAAATCTTGTTTTTCTTGCATCAGTGGGATGGCCATAAATTAAATAACTATAGGAAATTTCAGCATCATCTTGTGGTGAAAAACACAGATTTGGAAATTCTTGCAAAAATCAAATAATTATCAGATTTTAATGAAACTTTCAGAACTTATTTACAAATATTATTTTAGAAATGTTTCTATTTTAGAAAATCTTGGTTAAATTTTTTTTTTTTACATCTTTTACCTCCCCACATTTAATTATGAAATTTTGAGAAATTCAGTTTTTTTGTAACATTAATGTTTACAAGTTATAAATAAAGCTCCCATAAAATAAAAAAGTGCATTATTTAATTTAATTAGAACAGCTTTTTATTGTGTTTATGAATAAAATATTATGGACACTAGCCATAAGAAAAAAAGATTTTTCAATGAATAATGAATTTTCGCAAAGATTGTTTTCATTTTTTTTTTTTAATTTTAATTAAATCTTTAAAAAAAAAAATTTTAAATCAGATAATATTCTTCAAATAATGTTTCAGAAAAGTATATTTTATTTTTTTAAAGATATTTTAATAAAGAGAATTACATTGCAATGACATATGGCTAAAAAAATGGCACACTAAAAATCAGTGACTATAGCGATTTCAAAACAAAAATCTCCTTCCAGTCAATTTAAATTAGTTTTGAAATACAGCAAAGAAAGTATTTTTTGCATATTGGAAATATTAAAATTTAATTAGCTTGAAATTAAATGAAAAATAAAAGCTTCAAGAAAGATTTTTCATTTTTTAAACCTTAGATATCGCGTTTCCTTGAAGTTATTGAAATACCAATTTCTTATTATTGCACTGCTAGTGTCCCGTATTTCTTTAAGTTTTTTAAACATTTTCGCGCGCCTCAGTAATGGGAGCAGAAAACTACTGTTGTTGTTGACCTATGCCAATTTACTTCACAGACTTTAGTTTAATAATTTACTTCGAAACACAACTCTAGAACAAATATTCGATTTTAAATTTGTTATTTTTACATTTTTCGTCTAATGTTGGAATGTCTTAAAAAAAAAAAAAAAGAACTATATACATACAGAAATTTAAGTTTCATACAGATTTAGCATCAGGCTATCTTTCAAAATAAAAGTAAAAGTAAAACCAACATTTTACTAAAAAAAGGAAGCTTTTTCATTTATTTTAAATTTTTTTTAGTTCAAATGGCGGTCGGGTATCTGATTTTTAAGTTAAAAATTTTAACATGCCTCTGGATCTCGAATCTTTACTCGCTATTTTAAATTATGAATTTTTTAATTATTACAAGCATGTATGTTTGTAGATATTTTGTATACCACCTGTCTGTAAGTATCGGAAGTAAATAATTATTTTGCAAATATTCAAACAAAATCAAATACTTCTCCTCCTACCACAATGATAAATTCTGATATTCGTCCACAAAATTTGTTTTTTAAATTTATTTCACTGAACGAAGAAAAAAAAAAAACTTGGGTTTTAAGTAGTTCAATCTTCAATTTGAACAACAAGAAAAAACATTTTATCCGGAAGATGGAAAAAAAACAAAAAAACACGATCAGTCTATTCCAGGAACATGGATTGGATTGGATTGATATTTAATTTAATTTAATTTAATTTTTTTTATTTTTTATTTTATTTTAAATTAATGTAAGAAATCTATGCAACATGTTAAAATAAATTGGTGGAGAAAAAAATTCCCTGTGTCTTATCTATATATAAATAAATGATGCCAAAATATCACTATTATTGTCAATTAATAACAAAGTCAAATGGGAAAGAAAGAACAGAGAAGGAAGATGTTCCATGAAATTTGTCAACAAATTAGGGAACACTTGATAATTTAAAAAACGGTGAAATCTGAAAATGTCTACAGTTAATAAATATACGCTGAAAATAAAATAAGGCACTCGATCGTTTCTACATATTTGCTTGGCAATTTATTTATTTTTACAAAGTTATTATGCGCACAAAACAGTAACTGTAAGCTCATTGAAATTAAATAATTCTTACTTTCATTATGAAAGTTTCATATGTTGCATTTGCGATTATGACCTTTTTTCGGATTGGCGATGAACGCTGCAAGCAAGACGTTATGTAACCATGATTGCCTAAAATGACTATGAATTTTAAAAAAATAAGATAAAAAGATGTTTATAATAATTTTTGTTAGAACAAATTAAGACGTTCTAAAAAGATTTTATTATTCAATTTTCCAATAACAAAAACAACAATAATATTTTATCACAAACCTAGTACATAGATTTTTTTTTTACTTACCTCCATGGCGAGATGTAGTCTTGTATTAAAAAGGCAGATAAATAAAAGGACAAGGCAAAATATTAGGTTCGCTTCATATATAGACATCCCAACAAACACAACACACCATAGACATTATTGCGTTAAATGTCTGTCTAACTCTTCAGCCTTGGAAATAATAAATTTCAGAAATAGATTGGTGCACTGCCTCAAAACGCTCTTTTCGGCACCGCTACGGACTTCCTAAAACACCGAAAAATGCATTTTAAATCATTTAGTAGTTGGTTTTATTTTAAAGCATAAAGCAAATCTATATTATTATTATTATTATTAAGAGAAAAATTAAATTTCCGTATGTAAATAAAATTTTTCGACATTTTAAAACATACTTGTCAATCGTAACACGTTGAACTGCCATTATAGACGAAAATGTAAACAACTTTAAAAATCTCTTTAGTTTACTTTAAAATCTAATAGTTGTCCGAGAGATGTGTTTCGAAGTCAGTAAATTTAACTATTAATTAACTAGATTTTGCAAACGTAATGAAAATAATGTTTATTTACGCACGGTAACCTGCGATGTCAAGAGCCACAACTTTGACCACTTTCTTAAAAAGCGCGCAAAAAATAAACAAAAGTAAAAAATAAAATTAATATGGAACACCAGCAATGTTATAATCAAGAAATTGGTATTTATTTTTAAAAATAAATTATCTTTAATCTTATATAACCAATAGCTTCAGAATTTAATTTTTTTTATACTATACGCTTTTTAATAGAATGAATAATTATATTTTTTTATACTGCATTAGAAAAAAGATCATAAAAATAACTGTAAAAGTAAAATTATACAACAATAAAAAATAATTAAAAGATTATGTTCAGTTTTTGAGGGAGTGTTTAAAAAGTAGTTTGTTGTAAGTTAAATAATCTGATAGAGACTTGAAAACAAAACTCAAGTGTCACTCTTTCTTGCATATTACAACATTCTTCCTGTCTAGAAAAATGAAGATCATTTTTTTTTATATAGTTAATTACTAAAGAATACAATTGATTTATTATTTTAATCTTGACCATATTGTGCAGGGGGCTTTGATATACCGATGATTCAACCTCTGAGGTTGGGCCATACTAGACGCCGTTGTTTCTGGATATTGGTTTTCTGTTTGAAGTCTTTCACTTTCAGGAGGTGTCAATGACATCTCTAGAGTAAGTGAGTGAAAAGGCGTCGTGTGGCGAAAGTCACTTACCCTGAAAAAGGGCACGTGTGTCTGGTATGATATGCTGAAGACAGAATAATAAAAACAAGGCCATCACTCACAGCTGTTCTTGGATATGCTTATAATATTTTTGTCCTCCACAACCATTGACCAATAAAAAAATTGTTCCGTCGATAAACACGGTTGGTGTTCTTTGAATTGGGGAGTCGTTTATTTATTTAATTTTATTTATTTATTTTTATGGTCTGTTTCTAACCTGGTCCAAACCTTCTTTTAACGAAGGTGGGTCGGGGTTTGACTCAGACTATCATTGTGAAAGTGTGTGTGCACTTTCAGTGTAGGTGTTTCTCATTCTTGTTTTCCTTTATGCGTTACAATACACTTTTGAATTTTCTTTTTCGTTATTTTTTCTTTTCAGCAATCCCATTTGTTATTCTTTAGTTTAATACTTCTTTTGTATTTGTCTTTTAATTTGCATTTTATTTTGTCTGCCTTTCTTCCTTAAGCAAATGTAGTGAAAGAGATAATCAGTTACCCCGAAAAAAGTTTGTGTTTTGTGTGCGATCTGCAAAAGAAAAATTACCAAAAAGTAGTTAGCAGAAACATCAATGACTAGAAGCTAATGTTCTTCCCTCCCCTGAATGGCGTGACCAATCAGAAAATTCTCTCGGTGAACAGAAGTTGTTGTTTTTCGCTTATAAAAGGAGATGATTTTTTTGAGCTCGGGGGCATGAACACACATTGTTGTTGGTGAGAAGTGAAGGGTGGATGTGTGACACCCATTTTGTCGTTTCTACGTTGTGTGTTGGACTGTTACGTCGGACTATCATTTGAACTGCGATTTGGCTACAAGTGTTGCGGCCGAGAAACAGAAGAAATCTATTGCACTTGATCAGTCGACAGTCTTTTCTTTACTACAACACAAAACTTGATTTTGAAAGTTTTATTTGTACATTTTTGTTTTATTTTACCTAATTTTTGTACTGTCAAGTTAGCACATGTCATTGTTCTATGAGCTATTTGTTTTTGTGTGTGGCCCCAGCCAAAATGGCCAAGGTGTCTCAGCAGCTGGATCAACTACTAAATCCACATACTTGAGAATGGGCGGTGGACAGGCTCCCCAAATGGGGCCTAAATATTACATAGTGATACAGGGAAAAGTACTTGTTGCGGGGCCGATAAGGATGTCGCCCCCACAAGCTTTACGAAGAAAGGTGGGAACAGCTAAGACAATGAGGAACAAAGGCAGAGGTTTAGAATAATAAACGTCGGATTGTCGATCTGGACAAATGTAGGTACAGGAATTGTTTGGTGTAGTTCGATCGTGGAGTCAGGGAGTGCCAGTTGAAGGATCGTTGTTAGGTTCAAGGCAGCAGCTCAAAGGCAGGCAGATGGAACAGCGGTATTCCAGGTCCAGCCAGTCCCCGGATGTTTGCCCTTTGTAAAGAAGCGCGTCGGCGTTTTTGAAGAGATGATTGGCGTAGACAGTGCTGGGGTAGCCTGTTCATCCTTAGAATGACAGTTGTGTAAGAACGCAGCTTGGTAGTCCTTAAAAGGACTATCACATGTAAGACGGTTAGTTAGTCCTTAAAAGGACTATCGCATATTATGTGGCCAGGGTAGTCCTTAAAAGGACTGTCGCATATCATGCAGCCTAAGTAGTCCTTAAAAGGACTATCGCATATAATGTTCGGCTGCTGCTGCTGCTGAGGTTGGCTGCTTCGTGCAGTCAGCGACGAGGGTCGGCAGGGGTGAAGGTGAGAGGGGGAGCACGTTGCTCTACCTCGGGGCCAAGTTGGCCGAGTTGGCCAAGTTATTTGGTGGAAGAACTCGGCTGTGTTTATGTCGGCTGCGGTTAGCATCGTAGCCAGTTGGCAATGTCTTTTGGTTGATGACTAAAAATTACCCTCCGCATTTTGACTTTGTATGTTTATGTTTCATTTGTTTTGCTTTTTGTGTATGGTTCTCTGAAAAACGCTGAGTCACCGGCAATTAACGGCATTCGTTCTGTTTTCCGTGGTGATGCTTTCGGACGTTTGAGTAGCCGGCACTAACTTCCGGCCGGGTGCGATATACTGGTACATTTCAGGCAATGAGTTTGTTTTTGTCCCTTTTTTTTTTATCTCGAATGGGTCACTCTTTGGTTTCCCACTCCATTAGTGGGTATCCTTCTTGATTCTGTCAAACGGCAGAGGGGTGGACGGTTCTACTAACATCTTTTATGTTTTAGTGTGATTTTGTTATATTTTTAGTTTGTTTTTGGATTCATCATCTCCTGCCTTATTTCATGATTCACAAAATTTTTATATATCTTTGTAGGAAAAAAAGAAAAGAAAGAAACATTGAACATTTGTACATAGAGAAATTTTGACATCAAGAGGTTGTTTTGTAGGTTCCCTGTGAATATGTGATATTGTGGTACTTGTAGGATTGAATGGTGATGGATGAGTTTTTGTGGTGAATGAGTAAATTGTAATGAATGAATGGGTCGTGAGTCTAATTAACTAGGTCTAGGATAGAGATGATCAGCCTTAGTCTATTTCCCCCTCAGCCTTGTCACAATTGTTCATTTTATACATAATGAATATACTTAACTATTTTGTCCGTCAGCTTGCTTGTGACTGTTGCCTTGTTTGTTGGATTTCTGACTGTGTATGTATTGGGACTTTTTACATTGGACTTGAGATTTGTGATTTTGACATTTCTTTCTGCCCCTGGATCTTCTGGTTTGGATTTGCAATTTGTTTATTTTGTTTTGTTATTGAGCTGCCACGTCAATTTTTTGAACAATCTGTATTTGTTAGGAAATTTTCATATTCTGGAAGATTTTCACACAGATTCAATGGGATCTTCACCCTCAGTATTAATTCCACAGGGTGTATTGATTCCTTTAGGTTCAGAAGGTAGAGTCTCCTCGTTTTTTCTGGAAGAACTTTCATGAACATTTACAGATAATTTAGAGGCATCTACTAGGTTTGCAGAGTTGTCATTAGTGCAAGTGTCCTCTCCATTAGTAGGTCTGGGAGCAATGTCTCTCACATTGACTGTAGTTTCAACATTGGAAATGCATGTGTATAGTGAGGACTGATTTCCATGATTGTAGCAGGGGTAATGGGGAGGGGCTCATGTTCACTTGACTTGATGTGGTTCTTGACTTATATCGGTCCTGGTTTTGCCCAAGGAGTAATCAAGGTTCCAGATATGGATTTGTGGCTGTATTTAAATAATCTGTTCTTAAAAATGCAAACTTTGATCCTTCAACTTTTGTCATTAATCTTCATGAAAATTATTGAAATTGACTTTTTTTGTTTCTATGGATCAAACTGTGTAAGAATCAGCAATAAAATTTTTATATAAAAATTAAAATGAAATCCACTATTTTGAGCCTTGGATTACCATTAATGATTTAAACTGTGAACTTTGATTTTTCTCATTAATCTTACAGGAAATTGAGTGCAATTGATTTTTCTGTTTCTACACATCAAACTACATAAGAATCAGCAATAGAATGCGTGTGTAAAAATTAAAAAGAAACTTGCCATTTTGAGCATTTGATTAACATTAGTGCTTAAAACTGTGAACTTTGTTCCTTCAATTTTTTCATTAATTTTGCATGAAATTTATTGTAATTGTTTTTTTCTGTTTCTACTCATCAAACATCATTAGAATCAGCAATAAAATGGGTATATAAAAATTAAAATGAAATCCGCCATTGTGAGTCTTGGATTATGGTTTGTGCTTAAAATTGCGAATGTTGCTCCTTCGATTTTTTCATTAATCTTACATGAAATTAATTGTAATTAATTTTTCCTGTTTCTAT